CTAGTTTTGTATGGTTTCCATGAGGTGTTCAATTAATTGCATTGATTGATCGTTTGTATTTGTAGGGAAAGTTTCATGTTGTTTAGTGGCTTCCTCTGAGACAATGCTCTGAGAAGTGTATAATTTGTTTATGTTTGTAGTTTCGTTTTCGTTTCATATCAACTTTTCTGAACCATGTCTGCTAAAAATATTAGTATTACGGAGGAAATGAGAGCCACAAATTATCTTTTCAAAAGTATGTTTGAATCCTTGTTCCTATATAATTATTGAACTACCTTATCACCTACTCCTAGGCAATTTGTTGTGATTAACACATTAATGGAGCCTAAATCATGAAGAAATGAATAAAAGAATTAAAATTCACTCTATAATAAAAACCAATTACTGTTCACGATTATCAAATCATGAATTTGTAATAGATATATGGTTTTGGTACATAAGACTGACATTATTCTGTTCTGTTTCATTCTGATAACTCAATATTAGATGTCTGTCTGTTTTCTCAGAAGGCATTAAGATTAGCGAAATAGTAAGGAATAATCTTCAATATTTTCGTTAATTTGATTTGAAGAGGAATTTCCACAACAGTTTCATTTTCTACAACAATTTCCAATAGTATAATTTATGACATGGTCAGGTGGTCTAGCGCAACTGAAGAACCTTGTATTGGCTGCCAATCAATTGACAAATATCACCTGGATACTCTTAGTTTTGAGTTTTTGGGTTATTTATTAATGTCATTTTCAAATCGTAAATGGTGCATCTTTGGAGTAATCTCAGAAACGAACAAGTAGATTTTTCGCACAAATACTGTGGATGTTCATATTCTGGAACCAATTAACTGGAGAGCTTTTACAATAAAAGTGTTTGACCCATACCATATTCAAACAAAATTTTCGAAATTCTTTCATCTCCGTTGTATGCAGCCCTTGTGAAAATAATCATTAACCAGAGCATTTTGAAAATGAACTAATATAACGTTCGCAAGGCCGCTTGTGAAATATTTTGATACTTTTTTCGGGAAGAACAAAAGTTTATAAAATGAGTGGCATGTTTCAGTAATTAGAGAATCAAAGCCACTCTAACGTTCATCAAAATTTATTTATATGAGACATTAATGCAGTGGAAGGCTTGCATGATTTTATGTGGGACCACATATTTTCCACATCCTCAAAATATTCTACTTGATTTACACATAAATTGTAGAATTTCACAATATCCATCATAATCACATGATAAATATCACACATTATTCATAGTCACTAATACTTGCTAGCAGAAATTAATATAAATAAAGTTGAAACGTCAAAAAATGTTTCAAGAACTGGACAAAATTGTTTTGTTTGTACTCTGACTGAATCCAAGGCACTTATCAACTAATTGAAAATTTTACAAAAGTAGCACTTTGCATAATTCATTCTCTTTCCATCTGCCAAATGATTTTTTAATGGACACCAAATAAAATCACAACTAATGCAAATGGTATATAAGTTCTTGTAATCATCATGAGTGAAAGAAAAACGACAACACTCAACATTAAATATTTGATAATGTCTGAAACATTTGTCCAGTTCAGGATTATTCATCTAAAATAAAACGAGGTAGACCTGTCCCAAACGAAAATGAAGATTAAATAATATAAAGAATAAATTAATGAATGAAGATGATCAAATCTCATTTCAACATCATACCTAGACCAACAGTGGCTAAGTTTAATATGAGCAAAAATCTTACTAATCATACTAAAAGAAAAATAACACTAGTGAATACAGTATTTTTTATGTCCCAACAATTATTAAAGCATTCAAAGCTGAATATCAAGTAGAATTATATTCAAAAGTGTGATTGGGCAGTTTAGTGGAGATTGTAAGAAGATAGAAACTATGTATATGAATAACAAAACAACATCCCGTCAAGAAAATCATAAATATCATCACAATTTGTTTGCCCTGAGGGCTCAAGAAATATTTTAAGAGATACTTCCTAGATTTGACACTTGACAGAATACAGCAACAAAATCAATAATCCAAAACGTTCAGAAAAACATCTGAATTGTTTTCAAGTTTACATGGGAAAGTCATTCAACAATGAGTACCTTATTATTTTATTTTGATTTTCATTGACAACTGTTTTTCCAATTAATCATTTAGAAGCAAACACCCAATGGGTGTTGTGGGGTGTAGTATTTATACCTGTTCCCCACATGAAAATTTCAAGATTAAACTAGCCTAAACAACTCTAGACTGGAAGTGCCAGTTGAAATACTCATGAAGCAAACTACCCAAAAGAACGGTTTTAGAAATTGTTCAATCAGAATCCCGAAAAGGTCACAGAATCTGAGGAAACTCACATTAATACTATTGACCTTTCCTTTTTTTTTTTTTTTCGAATAACGATAATGCATTAACCATTCCTTAGAAGACATTTAGTACATGGGGATTCGAAGCCTTCCCGAATGATATGTTGTATACGTTAAAGTATCATATTGGTGGTGGAACTGATGGGCAATTGCCAAAAATTACACCAACACACTGGGATCTCAGGGGCAAAGTTGCTTTTTGATCCTGCAATTACCTTGCCGTACCGGAAACCACATGAGGATTGCCATGTATCCACATATACATTTATCAATTATAGTATCAATTGGTAGAGAGAATGATTATAATTTGTAAATGAAGATTTCCTCGATCAGAAAACACTGTGAACTAGTAATTTGTGACGTAATCATATACGAAATGTCATATGGGGTTCAGAGAAATCTATGTACATTCCTAGACCACGGTAAATTGATAAATCTACTTCCAGACATTTAAAGAATACAGATTCCAATGGTTCCGAAATGAAACGACACCATGAATGACCCCTTTCCCTCACCGCGTTTTCTGATCCAGGCCACCTTCCTCTACAAATAATCATCATTTCTACCAACCTTGACTGCGAGCAAACCGCAGCCATCTATGACCAGTACGTGTAACCCTACGTTACACGCTACATACTCGAATTATCCTCGTTTAAAACAGAATTCACGCGTATATCCCCACCATCTTTGTTTCAACAAGGCAGATAAAAACATCTTATCAACATTGTCACACATTATATTTCGGTATTCATTCGTATTATGTAAGATTGTTTGCTTATTAAAAAAGTATATGATGGTCAACTTTGGGTGAGAACTCTGATGTAGCTATCATTCAAGTATTTTGAATGTTTAGTTTTGAGTATTCTCAACTCATTTATTTCAATTAATCTGTCATGTGTGTGGGCAGTCGCCTTCACAGGAGCAAATAACATATTTTGAGTGAGTGAGCATTTTGGTGGAAAAAATTAGATTATGAATAGGTAAAGGCGGTATTATGAAATGAGATATATAAAATATTGTACTGATACAAGATGTTTTTCCACCACTAGCTACAGAACCTACCTTTATTTACTCCTTTTCGAAGCACAAAGTGTTTTTTCACTACCAAGTTAGTTTTTGTCATTTTATGAACTACTAGTCAATGAAGCCATTGCAACCCCTGTTATAATTAACCCGAATTCACTGTTCTGATACGAAATTCGCAGGAATGACACTCGAAGGGAACATTATACCTGGGTAATAATCATATTCTTCACTACCTTGGTGTATGAATTACTATTCTTAAAATCAGTGGCGTGTTTTTTATGTGAAAACAAGAAGGAAAGTTTTCATAATCGTTTGGCCCTGTCTTTCGAAATTGACGTTATTTTGACATTCTGTCAACCCTAGAATGCAAGGGGCATTCGTAATTGCAGTTTTTTTATTTTTGTGTTCAAATTATGTTGGTGATACAATCAGTTACAAATATTCAATTTTATAAGTTGAATGATTTAGAAACACAGTAATTTGTCATATCAATTAAGAGGCATATCCTGTCATCTGCCAGCAGAATGGTCACTTGTAGTTCCAGTCTGTAGCGTGTAACGTAAGGCAAATGTTTGCTAAAGATGGCAGCCACTTGTTGAACAATTTTTATCTTGAGTTACTTGACGACGACAATGAGACAAGATTATCATGCAGTTTTCGGTGTATCCGGTTATCAAGCTGATAGCAATGAGCTGTCCCAACTGCCAGCAGTCTGGGAGGATTCTGTTCATCCCAGGGGTCGTATTCTCGATAAGTGAGCTGTTTGACATGTACGCTTGAAAACGAATACTTTATTTTCGAAACTCTATGGAACTGGTATTCTGGAAGACCATTCGTTTGAAAAAACGTATAAATATCGCATCACTGCAGTAGGTATTAGGAAAACGACATATTTTTTTTTATAATTATACCGTTTTGTGGACTTCAGATTCAAAGGGGTGACCAAGATGAAAATTATACGCAAATAATTCAAATATTTCAAATGAATTTGAAAAATATCCCACAACATGAAAATAAAGTCCAATAACAAATAATATCAAACAAGATATCAACCTAATAAATTTTCACTATTGAATTATCAGACCAAATTGATTCAGGATTATGATAATAATCGTTCATTGTCTGCCATTGAACAAAATAACGAAATTCCGTGTTTCAATAATTATAAGGGTTGGTCACGGTCGATGGTACCTTACGACGTTCACGGAGAACGGGACAAACGATCATTCTGAAGGTAGTAGCAACTTTGATATTTTGAATGGAACACACTATATTTCATTGCATTAATAGATTCTTCCTGGGGAGCTGATTTCATCAATGCATCACACTTGGGGTCTAGCGGAAAGGATTACAGAGATATAGGGTGTTCTACTGTTGATTTACTATGTACTGACATTAAATTGGAACAGATACAGGGTGATCAAAATTCTGAATCTTGAAACAACCTGCATTTGTTCTAATCAAATGTCAGTAGATAGTAAATCGAAAGTTAAGACAGGGACATGAAACACCCTATACCTCTGTAATCATTCCCACTAGACCTGAAATCAGCTCTTCAGGGATAATCTGAAAATGCAATGAAATACAGGGTGTCCCATTTGAAATATCACCAAGTTGCTACTACTTTCTATAAGCGGCAACGATGCTTTGCTGAAAATATTTTAGATCGATAGAGCAAAAGCCACTACCTCAGTATCCAAATTTTCAGAATGATCCTATGCCCCCCATCTCCGTAAAGGTCTATATAGTACCATCGACTGTTACCCATCCTGTATAGGGGTAAGGTATAGTAGCAAACAAAAGGTTAGATAGATTTTCTAGCTGTCGCAACACATCCAGCTTTTTTTTTCAATCACGGTGGGATGTGAAATAAAAGCGACATTCTGAAAATTGTTGTTCAATATCATCAATAAGTAAATATCAAATAATACTGATATGTCATCACCTGACGTTGCGATGACGTTTAAACTGGGTGAAAACATGTCTAATTTTCAATCTATGCCAAGAGTTAGGAATAATTTTCCCCAGTTTCAACGTCATCGCCACGTCAGATAATGACCTTGAAAACCGCGAATAGAAAATCATTTAAGGAGCATAATGTACTTGTAAATGTTGTATTGATCACAATTCTGATAAATCATATGTGATTATCAATATCCATGAAGAATGCACTCAAATCTCATTTGGAGAAGAAAATTAGGTTCTACAGTATGCTGTACCTTTACCCTTTTTGCACTGCGTCTTTCATAGCATAAACCCTTCAATCTTTGGTAGAAGTCCATATTGCTCAAAGTGGAGTGAAATTTTTCAAAGGACTGAAGGAATGCTGGAAGTAATCTCCACAAATTCCTTTGATAAACCATTCAGTTCATCAGCCAATACACGGTTTCACGTAACTTTCACCCTTCAAAGTACCCATTTAAAGCAAATCAAGTATTGGTTGTTAGGAGTTGAGCATTTGTGAGTAGAGAAGAATGACATATCTGCCAGAAAATCAAAAAATGAATGATGCAAAACGTATAAGTGCCAACTTCCACGGGTCAAGAACATCGAAACGCATGAAAGAGTTCACTTGTCGAGAATATGGCCCCACACCTAGATTTTTTAACCATTCCGCATAGTTTCATTGAAAACTTCTCACCAATCACCAATAAATCTGTGTTGGTGACACATTATATTTTGCGACTCGCACATCGTAACACAGTAAAATACAAAGCCGACTAGCTCTCACTCTTGTTGCAATTCGAAAAGCGACTCTCCAAACTCTCCAGCGAGGTCGCCGTAGACATGACGTCGGCGAGTTGACTTTTGGCGTTCTCCACATCGAACACGGCCTCCTTGATGACGGGCTGGGGCGGCGGACTTTGAGGCACCTATAATAATAATAATAATAATAATAAGTTTATTTTTTATTGATCATGTTGCATACATATTTGTGACAGGTCCACGGATTAGGCATTATTTTTCGAAAACTTTGATAATGACAATCGATTCGGACCAGTCCCAAATAGTCCTATATCAATTTTCAAAACAATATCTCAGAAGGGGTGTTTTTATCAACGTCAACATTTTTTTATGATTGTATTTTTCGAGTTACTGTGAATGACAACCATTTACCAGAATATTTGAAAAAGCAGAAAACCCCAAAATATTCAGGAAGGGTTTTATAGACTTCCTCATTCCAAAGGCACAATAGAACCTGCACGAGTTTTATTAAGACAAATTTTGAATCAGGAATGAACTGTACCTATGTGATAGTAAGAGTGTATATTTACTTATTTATTTATATATTTATTCATTTCTTTCAGTTATTGCATTACATTTTTCTTCAATATTATATTTTACACATATACATATTATATTCTCTTCCAGGGTTCAATACCAGCCAGGCAAATCAGAAACGAACAAGGGAGAAATGTTGACCACATAAATATGGACTTAGCAACAATTCTCGAATGGGGATCCAATAACTTGGTAGATTTCAATGCAAACAAAACACAAGCATAACTTTTTTCTATAAAATCCGATCTCACTGTGCCAAACATAAGCATGTCAGGAGTAACCATACCTTTGAAGACATCCATTTCGATGCTTGGTATTACTATCAGCAATAACCTTTCTTGGGAAAATCACGTGAGATCAATTGCTAAAAGTGCATCCCAAAAACTTGTTTTTCTGTTTCGGGCCAGGAGCTATTTCACTCCCAGCCAACTGCTTATGATCTTTAAGGCACAGATCCGACCTGTCCTGGAATACTGTTCCCATATTTGGAGTGCAGCACCCAAACATACCCTGAAACCGTTGGATTCTGTCCAAAAAAGGGCAATTCGTCTCGTGGGTGATGCCTCGCTCACAAACTCACTCACTTGTCTGGAACACCGTAGAAAAGTTGGCGATCTAGCTCTATTTTATAGATATTTTCATGGACGATGCTCCTCTGAAATATCAACAATTTTTCCTCCCTTGGCAGTCCCCGCGAGATTAACCCGTCGAGTTGAGGTTTCGTACCCCTTCGTGGTCACTCTGGAGACCTGCAGAACACATTGCATAGGGAGGTGTTCCCCGAGGCATATAACCTCCAGAAATTCAAGAAGAACACCAATTCCTACCTCATTTCCCTTGGTTCTCACAATGTTCAACCTATTTTGACTCCTAATATCATTTTCCGGAAATTGGGGTGGTTCCATGGCTGTTGGCGAGCAGTGTATATCACTGAAGATGACCCCACTTGGTCATAGTGCATTTTTTGTATATCTCTCGCTCCAGCAAATTTCAGGATCCTTACCTAACGATTACATGAGATACAGGCAAAGAATAGTAGGTTAGTCACCAAGAAGCTCCACTTCAAATGCGCGGGAAAACTGACAAATGACCTTGAATTTTTACTACGATCAGATGTCAGCTGTATGTTTACTGTTTGTCAACTAATTTCTTCTCAGAGATTTGGCAAATTTTTCAACAGTGACAAAAGTGGATTTGATCTGCACAAAAGCGATTATTATTTTTATAGACTTGTGTTTTTCTGCTAAGTTTCAGTGGAATCATCATCATTTTTCGTTTCTTGTGGTTTCTTGTTATCATTTTACATAACCTCAAAATATTGTGGTATAAGTGTAGGTATATTTGATTTTTTCTAGTGTCTAGGGTTGCTGAGGTAGAAATGATATATTTTTGTAGATAAACTTGGCAATGGGGAGACCTGAAGGACTAAAATGTGCTGTCAAAGACTGCAAGAGTAAGTACTTGGATAATAATCAACATACACCACTGAGATTTTTTAGGTTCCCTAATCCTAGGACCCAAGAAGTGAGAATGAATTCATGGCAACAGGCGTGCAATGATGAATTGATCAGGGCTACTGATCCTATGAAATTGTATGGAAGCATGAGAATTTGCAGTATACATTTTGAGGATCATTTGATGGAAAAGCACAAACTGAAAGAAAATGCTGTTCCTACACTAAACTTGGTGGTAAAATGGTCCTGATTTTATTGTATTTTACATACTTACACTTGATCTTATAGGTATCTTTATCAGGCTCCATACATGAGGAGCAATCATATTTCAGTGATGAAAAGTAGGTCATTTTATGGAAATAGATGATAGCTCTGAAGATGGGATGAACACAAGAGCAAGAAGCATTGGTACCCAAACAGAACCAGATATGGTGGACACAGGAACACAGACACTTGTGCGGAAGTCTGATTCTCAAGTGCAGACAAAAAAGCAACTTTCAGCTATCACACCAAGAAAAATCAAATTAATCAAGAAAATAAATGTGGTATATTGAAAACTATTTCCTACATTTTACTGATTTATTTTGTTATTGATTTGATTAAAATCTTCATTCGAAATGATGGTTATTTTTATTTCATAATGTGCAAACCTACCTTGAATACTGAAGGAAATAATTTCAAGGAATTTCTTAAATGATTCATTTTATTTCCTTCAGTAAGACTGAGCAGAATGATTCATCAGCTTATGGAAAAATAAGATGAATTGAAGATGTTCATTTAGAAGATATCCTGAGATCTGTTCCTAACCTAAAATTACAAAGAGAAATTCCACATTGCACATAGGTAAATGATGATTTATCGTTCACAAAAACAAAATATCCTCATGTCCTGCTTAAGTTTCTGATTCATTGGCAAGTCAAAATAAATTATTATTAATTTCAATTATTCCATCAGACTTGTAAATAAACTATTCTAAGGTAGATTCACAATGTCCACCTAATTTTGTAGAATCGTGTTGTGATTGGGTGAACATACATTTACGCGACGGCTGTCAATCTATCCACCAATGAGGATTTGATACGTTGAACGCGGATCGCTTACTTGTAAGTTGTGAGCGCGCCTTCAATACGTATGTCAGTTTCAAAAAATCAATACTTCAACCTGCTTCCAACCAATGAGCGGAGCGTAACCCATCGTGCCAGTTCATTCATTTGGGTTATTTCAAGGTCATCATCTAAGTTTCACTATTTCATTCATAAATACTCCAAGTGAAAACTCTTTCCCCTCTCCTCTTTGATACAGGGGTGGTTCCATTTGAAGTGGGTCACACTGTATATACCATCGAAGCACACACACTATTACTATGAAATGATAAGGAACTGAGGAAAATATAGATACGTTCAGTGGTTCATTTTAATAATTTTTGTTGCACAAAAGTTCAGAATGGGGTTAAAATTGATGAATTACAAACAATTAAACATACTTTTATTTCAGATGGAACATTTTCGCTTATATAAGAGTGGTAGGTAATAGGTATAGTTGAGAGTTCGAATAATGATAAATGGCAACAATAATAGGATAATAGAATAGTACCTATGATGGATTCATCATACTTCAGGAATAGGACTAGAGATCGCCGTTCGCTGTTGGTGGTTGGTTCGAATCCGACCATCCAAAAGTTTTTCAATAACCAGGTGCAGGGGTTGTCAGCATATTTTGGCACCCCAGAAGTTTTTCAAAATTCACTATAAGCTGTAGAGATCCCGCACTTCTCAATTACGCACAAGTTCAAACATGGGATTTCAACATTGAAGATGTGATACATCAATAATTCAATTTGATAAACCTTTGAAATTTATGTCATTTACGTTCCTGTACTGTCAATTTCCCGTTTTTTTCATCAATTTATTTGTGGTTATCCATGACTCTCAGTGCTTGTCATAGTGTCCGTACTCTAATACAAACCCGTCAAAACAGCAATATCAAGTACATAAAGGAACTCTAGTTATACCCATCAAATTTTGACAGAATGGATTGTCAATAGGAACAATATCCTTGGACAATAAAGCACAGTTTGATTGATTGACTGATTGATTATACCTCGGAAGTGGCCGCCGCCAGCAGCATCAGCTCCTTCTGCGACCCCTTCGCCTCCACGAGGAAGATGCTCTCCTTCACCTCCTTGCTGGAGTACTCGTGGATCTTGTCGTAGATGACGCCGTGCAGGCCGAGCTCCTTGAGGAACTTGATGGTGGCCGGATCGGCGTTCTCGTCGCCCCAGCAGAAGATCACCAGCCCGGCCTCAGTGGCCAACTTCACCTGGAAGCGAAAACACACGTATTTGACATCTATGATAGGCAATAGAACTGATTTCTATAGAAAATACTATGACGTTCATCACGATGAAAAGGGCACAGGGAATTTTTGAAGTGATAAGGTGATAACTTCTATAGGCCGGTTTAGTTAAACCCAAACTATTTTGTGACCTTGACAACAGTGTGATGGAACTACAGAAATATCAAAAGAAGAATAATTTAACTTTCAAACGGCATCCTCGTCTGTCACCTTCATTTTCAAATCTATCATCTAGTCAAGTCTAACCAATACTGCGAATATTCGAATATAATTCCAAATGATCTAATTCTCCAGTTGTGTGTTGTGTTATCTGTTATCTGCAGTAAGTATTCAGTCCAGAAAATTCTGATAAAAAGGACAATCAGAAATATTCTTGCACTTGTCTTACAGAAATAGAGAATGGTTACGTAAGTCGAATCTTGTATGGTTGCTTCAATAATTATTTGAAAAATGTACAGAGCTATGAGGAAAAATCAGTTTACGACAGTGTACTAAATTGGGTTAGTACTAACGTCGTAATCCCTCTTCTTGTGTTGCCAGCCGTTTTATTTCAAGGAAATATCAAGTATATATTTCGAGAACATTCCATTTATGTCACCAATATAGGTATTACCCCCTTTTTTATCGCTTGGTGCGCACGAAAGGGAATCCCTATAATGTTCGAAGAACATCGTGCGTAGCTAGGGAGGATAGGGAGACGAAGTAAGTGTTGGATTATTTTTTGAACTTTTGAAGTGCTTGTAAGTTCTTGGAAACACTTCCTCCGGCAATGAATTCCAGAGCTTTCCCGTTCTATAGAGAAACGAGTTTTGATATGGTGCTGTTCGAAATATTTCGAGGTTGACAACGGAAAGATGTGCTGACTGCGCTTGTCAAGTTCGTCTGGCTGTTGTTGCTATGCGTAGAATGATAGCAGAGATTTCTGAAGAATATTTCCCGTGGAAGTATCTATAAAGTAGTGAAAGGTCGCCGACCTCTCTACGGTGTTCCAATGATGTCAAAGTGTTAGTGTGTGTGGCATCACCCACTAGGCGAATGGCTCTTCTCTGGACATCATCCGCTTCCATTCTTTTTTTTTTTGTTTCAACTCGTTATCACATGACGGAAGTATGTCCGGAATAATGGCAGCAAATAAAACAGTGTGCCGTTGATTTGACTCAGATTAAGGGGTGACACCGTTATGTTTTTGGCACCTACCATTCAATTGGTACCGGATGGCATAATTTTCATCTCGTTATCAAATCGCGGAACTAAGTGCAAATTACCGCACAGGAAAGTGACATTTCGCTCAGAATAGTGATTGGCACAGGTGCCGTTCGATAAAAATAAAATGTATTTACATGCCTGCATGGAACATATTATATCATTTCGTTATCAGATGACTGTCGAAATTTGCAGCGGGATCTTGTAATATAGGTTCCTAATGAAAGAAATATCTATCAATAATATAGATAAGACGATAATATGGATACATTATGATTATCGATAAGCGATATTTCATAATCATTATCGCCCACTCCAAATGATGAGTATCTTGTGTCATCCAAATTTTTCTAATAACTTGCTGCGCTCTTCGACAATCTTCCAGTGTTGCCGCGCTGGTACATTTGTACCAAATGTGGTTCAGTTTGGTACGGTGGTACTACATTTTGAATTTACATTTAAATTTTGGATTTACATTCTGGTACATTTTCATTTTTCCGCTCCTATGTATAAATTCACAATATTCATAAGTTCATTCTATTCAATCATCATTGGCATTCCCTTTCGTTTGGATGATTATTTAGCAGACCACATATTGAATAGTGAAAGAACTAAACACGTGATGTGCTACTTTTTTTCATCCAAAACACATTGTTGTGTTCTGTATGCGGGCGCCATCTACCCGTCTGAATGTATGGTGAAGATTATGCACAGAATACCCTACCTGTGATTCCCCAACGGTTGTATCACAGGTTTTAATCAGTCATATTCCCTCGGTTTTCAATTCTCATACCTAAGTATAAGGAGTATGATGGATAAGTGAGTGAAATCACATTTCTAAAACTATTTTATTTACCCAAATCTGATGAGAACGAGCAATCTATTTCTCGAAAACCTATTTCAAGGTCCGTTATAATAATTGTGTTTTATGCTGATTTGAAATAATGTAACAAAACGGTACATTTTCAGTTTAACGTGTGGTACGCTTCATAAGTTGGGCGCGGAACACTGCAATCTTCGTAATCGCCGATATGAGGGTGATGGGAATGGGGAGAATTGGGAATGGTAAGAATTGGGAATGGTAAGAATTGTCTCCTGTATTCAATTTTACAAACCGATTCAACGCCATAAGCGATGCTGATGTTGTTAACATCAATCAAAATCATTAGAAAGCAATTTTTGAACAAACGCTAACAGTTTAACAAATATTATGAATTAAGAAGTCAATAATGAACTTTGAATTTTTAATCTACTTACACGTGAATTATGGGTAAATATTCATAGAATACTGAAACGGAGTATTTGAATGGAAAAGCAACAGCCAACGATGTAAATAATGCATGATTATCAGTTGGATAAAATAATTGATATTTATCTTTGATGAAATGAAACAACACCAACATGGTGCAATATTGACCCAAACAAACATACCTACTAAAAATAAAGAATATAAAACAGTATAGCCACGTTATATATCTGAAAATGAAATTTGGAAGCATTCCATGATCACTGGTATAGAAAAATCTATTTTGGACATAAAAAAATTAGAATGGATAAAAAGTGTGAAGGGCACACGTGCTGAAATTGAGGAACAAAAACAAGGTCAATTTATGCATTAGTATGAAAATTACAGTCTATTTGATCACAATTTGTAACAAGTTGATTTACTCTAGATAACAATAACAGATAATGCCCTATTCCGTTATCTTCAATTAAAAACTTGAAGTTTGCAATTTTTTATCAAACCATGTGCTTAGATTATATAAACATCATTATGTCTGACAAACAAAATACTTATAGCAATACAGTGTAGAAACATAATGATTGAATGAAATCCGTATCTCCTATACAGATATATGTACAATACAAATTCGTTGAATAGGTCGATTTTTGTTTTCGAAAATCTAATTTGTTAACGTAAAATTTCTCAACGACCTGTCAACCTCCTGCTCTACAGATCAAATTTTCAAATTGTACAGGGTGGGCAAAATTGGGCGATTTCGCAGGTTATCTTAATAAGCTAGAGGAGTTATCGATAAACCGATCTACATGTTATGAGTTCAATTTTAAAGAAACCTGAACTGGTACAATTGGAATTTCGATATCTTCATTCGATTCAAGGATACAGGGGGAAATTGAAAAATTGACGATTTCGTTTCTATTCTTCATTATGGTGAAGGATATTGAAAATTTTCAAACGTTCATTCATATAGTATGATGCGTAGAATCAATTGTCATCATTAGGAATTTTATACATGGTGAATTTGATTGTTTTCTTATGGATCACCCCGTATACTTTGACACAGTTGGATAGTCTCAGGCGTTCCAATTGCAAATATGAATATAACTCTTACCATTTTTTTCCACAACTCCATGAATATTTGCAAAATTATATTAAACTACTAGAAAGTGCCTCTAGAGATATCTGGAAATCGAAACAACAATGTTGAGACACAAGAACCAAAATGGCGCGGACAAAATCAGCTGATGGGTTGGGTAGAGTTGGGAAAACAAAGATGGTGAGAACCAACCAATGAAGTCGACAAACGATCTCCATCTATTTTTGTTATACATGCAGCCATATTGATTGTCCTTTCTCTTTTTTATGTTACTTTTGATGCTTTGTACAAAAGGCAAGGGCACATCTAGTAGTTCAATAATATTATATTTTTGTAGGTAACAAATCGTGGATTCATTGTATGGTGCAGTATAATGAAATCAAACCGGTAGGTACTAAATATTCCACTATCTAGATCTTCTACATTAATGATCCTGAGAAAATATTGAATTGAATCGATTGTAATACTAAGATAATATTCAAATTAAATCCTTAGGTATTCCAAAAATAATAGAAATGATAATGTGGTAAGTGGTAATATAACATTCCGAAATGATCCCAATTATTAATACCTGAAATTATATCAATATTATAATAGACAAGGTGATTCAATGTCAAGTATCATAAATTGAAGAGCTTGTAGACAAAGTTCAATTATGGAGAATGTTGGAATATTTCCTCTGAAAATGACTTTTTACATATTGCACTAATGATTCTACATTTTTCTGTGTATATTATTTTTTATATAAGCAGTTGTATACATTCCGAGTAGCACCCAGTAGTGAAGATTTCAGGGTTGGATAAATATAAAGAATCCAATAAAACAAACTTCTAATGAAAGCTAGATCTAGACGATCTTGCATGAATCATAAATAAATCTAGATAATCATTTCATTTTTAAAATACCAAAACGACCAAATTTTCCATTTTTTATCGAAAACGACAGTTTAATCGAAATTATGGAAAAATGGAAAACATACATTTTTGTGGTGCCAAAAGGATCAAGTGATCCCTGAAATTACTACCATGGGTACTTCCGATGTAGATATAGTCTTTCTAAAGTAAATTGGTGCAGCACCAGCAAAAAACATACGCCGCGCGGTGTCGGTTCGTTTGATGTTGAAACGGACTAGGTACAAGTGGCAATTGACTTTGGAAGGCATATACTACAAATGTGTCTAATACCTGCTTATATCAAAAACAACACATATGGAGAAAAAAACAGAGTCCACTATGTGAAAAGGTAGTGCATTCAATCAACAGTAAGCTGTTGATGAGATGTTAATTCACTCTCACCAGTCACCATGGCTAATACCTTATACCGGATAGGAACATTTTTGGTGATCTCATTATTAAATCAAGATATATCGTACACTACACTGTTTTACCACTAACCAAACCGATTTTTTAACGCCTCGACACGTGTTTCGCTAACTATGTTAGCATCTTCAGGAGAAGATTAGGAGGATCTTCAGGAGAAGAGTTTTAATCTTCTCCTGAAGATGCTAACATAGTTAGCGAAACACGTGTCGAGGCGTTAAAAAATCGGTTTGGTTAGTGGTAAAACAGTGTAGTGTATTATCGTGCCAAAGGTTCCAGTCTTCGATGTATTAAGATATATCGTGTTCTGTCTAAATCCCCCATCAGAAGAAGCTCTAACAATGAATAATAATGGAGTCAATCAAAATTTCAGATTATCATCATTGTCAGAACTCAAATCACTACTTAAGTATGTTTTAGATGGAATCCTTCACATCAACAATTCAGATCGTGAATGAGATGAAATGTTTCCGATGCACGTGACCTGAATATTCCCACTAAACTAATTTACTCACCAGCGTAGGATCCCTCAATAAATCCTCGGTATGGACATTCACTCCCAATATTTCGATCATCTTCGCATACTGAGTAGCAGCTTTGATAGACCAGCACCTGGGATCCTTGTAGCGTTGATAAAGTTTGCTCTCTCCGAGAGTCAGGAACATAACAGGGTACTTATTCTGCTTCAGCCTGATCACCTGTGAACGTTATTCAGGATATCAAATATCAAAATTGGACTACTGTGTAGGCACATGAATTAACCCAAAAATCTATAGGATGATTGGTCAGCAATACATCTTAAAATGATTAATCTAGTACGAATATAGGAATGATAATTTTTGCTGATCGTAATTAAACATCGGAACAGGCCCGAATTGAAAACGAAAGGAAAACTAAAAGACTGCATAACCTTCTGGGTGAGAAACATGTGTAACCAATGTTTGATGTAAGTATTGGTATATATTTGGTTGTGGAATATTCTGTGATTAATTGTCTTTTATAATCACTGTTTCACATCTTCCAAATAATCCCTTGGTTAGGAATGCGTTTTTTTTACAGAATTATTATTGAAATATCTAACAGAAACCAACTACTTTTCTAGCTAATAGCACAGCATATTGAATAATATCTGTCAAATACTGGATAAACCTACTCTGGAAAGAAATCGAAAAATGTACATTAACTATTATTCGAATATCTATTAGAAAACAACTACTTTCCTGGCTAAAACCACAGAATATTGAATTATATCTGTCTAATTATCGAAAATATCGTAGATCTAATTATGAAAAAAAAGTATAGGTAACCCAACTAATTATTCCCATTACCTATATTGATCACAACCAACAAATTAATTAACGAATAAAAAACAGATAACAATAAGAAAATAACTTTAATAAAAAGGCAGCTATCAGTAATGTTTGGTGTGAACTGCTTTCAGGTAAAATTGTGGGCGCGTTGCCAGATTTTATTCTTGGAAACAATGGAAATAATCGACTCATGACTCTTTCAAGTTAGAATTTAGATATTATTGAAATAGATATATGTTTCGTCATTTCTTCAGGCACCTGAACTACTTAATAATTTCGTGAATAATTTGATTGTTCATACTTTTCGACTAATCGGGAAATCAGGATTAAAAAAAAATCTTATCAGCAGGCTCAGTAGGCTGGAGCCTAGGGCGGGATTTTAGGGGGCGGCAAATTTGTCCAAAAAATGTTTCCCTTACATATACATAGGGAAAACGATTATGAAAAATTACTAAACTCTCTGTGAAATATACTTCAGTAATCATGCATTTTTAAAATATTCAATTCAAATTGAGTAATTTTAATGTTTTATTTTATTAATCATTACTGCTTTTTTTGTTCGTCGAACTCTAGAAAAAAATATATTCTACGTAGGTAGGTACTTATTTTCGATTGATTACTATTTTTGAAGGCAAGTACTTTTCGTCAGCAGGCACCAACTTTCAGTCCGCTGTGGTCACTATGATACGGCACGGTGCGAGAGCGCCGTTTGAGTTGACAATAACTGTCATTTGCTGTTCTCAAATTAATTATATACGAAATCCGATAGGTTTCAATGGGCTTATATCACAAAAAAAATGTATTTCATTATTCGATAGAACTCACCACCGCAAACCGTTTCTTGCTGTGAGCTCCCTACGTTTTATAAAAAATTATTGAAATCCCCGATTTTTCGGACCTCTGAAAACGTGGCGATGATGTGACGTCGAAACCCTAATACTGAAACAAGACTATTCCAGACAGAGATGAATGATACATGATTTCTGACAGAGTGAATTAGCGCGAGATCACAGTTGAAAGAATTAATATATCAGTTGCCTCATTCTCCGTCGGGCGTTTGGTATTTTCTTTTAACCATGGCGAGATGAGGTTCCTACGTCATAAGAGGGTCCGTTTTCAAAAGGTACTATTATTTATGTCCAAAAATAAAACATTCCAGTTAATTTTTCGATCGAATTATGTCGTCAATCATTATTTGTGTATAAAAGGATCATTATAAACATGTTTTGAGTTAAAAGTTCTACTAAGGTGTACACGCCCATTGTAACTAAGACCTCGGTCCGAATCTAAGTATTGGATATCGACGAAAAAATTTAATATGCACCTCGGCGAAAAACTGTATATTGTCTCGCCTGCTGCTAGCCTGTGCTATCAATTTGCAGGCTCAACTATAATCAACAGTTTTCCGTCCTTGGTACAGAAATAATTATTTGTTTCTATTTATCTACCTAAATGTTACTAGGTCCAATCGTATAATAAACGTGTAATATGTTTCAACCCTTAAATATACTTTTTGTACGACATATTTGCGAAGTCGTTTAGTCGTTTTAAGGTTGTTGTGCAGGAATAGATGACATAACCATTAGCTAAGAAAATAGTGTCTGGACAAATTAAATTGGTTATCTAGAAATTGGCACAACGAAATCCTAGTTTGAAATCATGCTGCAGGGTAATAACGAGAAAAAAATGATATAATGAAGACGATAGAGCACAATTTTGTAAATCCGCCACTGTATAATCAGTTCCTAAATTGCGTACGAATTATTCATTTCTCATTCATTTTTTAATTGAACCATACTATCCTTGTGAATATAACCGACAAGTAACAGTTCCCTGCTGGATAATTTGGTCCGAATGTTCAGCACAGACTAGAAATCCCTAGAAGTCAATATAATTAATCAAGTGACTGTCCAGAAATTTCAAATCTGAACAGGGATTGAAATCATTATAAATATTTCTTTTCAGTAATAAAAATAATCAATATTCAAAAACGCCAGCTCTCAATGACGTGATATACCGATAACCACTAATTGGCGGTTTCGAGGTCATCATCTGACGTTGCGATGACGTTTTAACAATGATAGCTAAAACATTCCTAACTCCTGGCAAAGATTGAAAGTTAGATATGTTTTCCCGTAGATTTCCCTACTGCTAAATGTCATCGCAACGTCATCTAATGACCTTGATAACCGCCAATAATGTCATATTCCTCAATAACCAATGAAAATATTACCACATTCCACATAGAAATAAGAATACATTTCCACAGTAGCAGTGTACCGAGACAGACACAATTCATGTTGTATCGTACCTACGTTGCATCTCGTTATACGAACTAGTTTGGGTTAGTCCTTCAAACAAAATAGTGAAATGAAGTACTTCACTGAGTCAGGCATGTTACTATGAAACCAGATAACGAGAGAGGCAACCATTAACAACCAGCTGACTTTTCCCTAAAGCATCCGGCGCAAATATCATTCTACCAACCCTATTCATAGTTCCAAGGGTTTCCGGCCGATCTAGGATTTGCCGATTTCAACTCGGCTTTATAATATAATAGCAGGCACAATGAACATGACATACAGGACTGACCATATACAGCCTATTGGTAATTATGTTCGTTTTTGACTCCCAATATTTCCTTATGACAGTAGAGTTACTCACTATAGGTGACTCATCTCCGAGTTGATACTAATAGTGACTAGTTTGTATGTTTTGTGTTGTTTTTGATGTTTGATGTATCTATGTTCAAATTCTCAAACATGTTCAATGTTAGTTATAAAATATTTAAATAAGGCAGCAAATGGCGAATTTTCAGAAGGTTGAAAATATCGAAAATAGTAGAGCTAATGAATTTGGTTGAACATTTTTCTACCGAGTAAGTACTACTGAAGACTGGGTAATTTATAAGTGATAGCCTGGGTGATAGCTGATGAGGTATAAAATTGATTTGAATCAAGAAATCTCTGAATTATGAATTAACCTAATTAGATAATTATGATGTTTGTCTCCTTCATATTAATAATAAAGTCTTCATTTCTGTTTTTTTTTGTTCAAGATACATTTCATTTGATCTCACTATCTTCCTATTGTCATTATTTTTCATGGCATAATAATATAATTATTTTCAAATCATTCTTAATCAATGAGGACAAAAAGCAAACATGGAACTGAATAATTTATCATATCAGAATGAATGTTATCTTCTTATTATTGTTCCATTTATTTTTCTCCCAACGTGTATCGTAATATCGTCATAACATAATTATTTTCAGAATTTTCTGATTATCAGAACAAAAAAAATACATGATATTGAATAATATAAGAGGTGGTTTATTCAACTTAAAGATTTTTTTTACTCCCCAGAAGTCTGAACTTGTGCGGGGTTAGGAAGAGCAGGACCTACAGCTTATAGTGGATTTCAAACCACTTCTAGGGCGCTGAGGTGCTGCAAGGATTACAACCAAGAATCACACATTTTTAAGAAAATTGCTCAGCCAAGCCGAAAGCACTATAATTTTCTTCACTCAGTATTGAAGGGGAGAAAAAACTTGTCTCGAGAAATGTTCATATCCCACATCAATTTCAATTGTTCAGAAACGGAGAAAGTTAGTAATTTCGTTTTATAAGTTTGTTATCTTGTTTGAGGTTATTAAGGAGTTTTATATGTTAGTAATAGGTACTCATGTACAGTTGTATTCAATAAAAAAGCGTACAAGTCTTGAAAAGAGTGGTTTTCGTTACCTAGTTCTAGTTGTGTAAAACTGTGCTTAGCCAATGCTTTGTGTTTTTGAGAACTTATCGACAACTTTGCTGTCAACATTTGGTAAACAATCATTCTCAATAGCCCGTTTTACGCTAATAGGATGACATTAATTTCTCTCTGTAATATACATGTACGCTTTTTTTAATACGACTGTACATATTTTGAATAAAGTTTATTTCAAAGTAGAACATGGGCGTCATTTAGGAGGGAAGCAGGAAGGGCAATTGACATCCCTGATTTACTACAAAAAATGTAATCCACGTAGATTCTTCCTGTAACCACATAATATACATCATCATCAATAATGTATAATAGTAGCCATCAGGTATTTTCCTAAAATGTGTAAAAATTACAATAGACTGAAGATTAACTCAACTCTCAATCATTTTGTTCTCAAAAAATTTCGGGATCATTCATCTGCTCGAGTAACCTACTAACAGTATCCAAAATACTGAGAACATTCAACTGAATAATTTATAATATCATAATATGATGGAGTTGATGCCGGTCTGAAAGGAATTTAATTTTCAATTTTGTGGAATTTGACTTGAACTCGATAAAATTATCGCTTGCGGCGCATTTTCACTGTACAGTGTGTCCAGTTTTCGATGCTTTTGTGTGATATATCAGTTATCTTTGGAAATAGAACCTTGCGGTTTGCGCGGTCCTGTGCCACTTTTTGTGAAACTCAAGATGGCCTAATCAGATTTTGCATAACTATTTCCGTTTTTGAGATACAGGGCGATATTGAAAATTTATACTTTTTGGCCCCATTTATATCTACAAAATTTCTCAGTGAAAACGTCAAATTAAAATCTTAGCCCATAGAGAATTTTTTGCAGAATCCAGTGGCGCACTCGATTTTTTTTCGGGTGTATGATATGGAGATACGACCAAACTTATGATTTTTTAAATGTAACACCCTGTATTTTATAAGCTCATCAAATTCCTTGTTTTTTCAAAGTGGAAAATAGAAACTCAATTATCAGAATTTCATCAAACACTATCAAAAATGAACCTACTTATGCCATTTTTGAATTTTTTTGACGTATCAGTGATTGTTGTTATTTGGTCTGATGACAATTAAAAATATAGACGATATCAGCGCCTCTTACGGATTTTCTATGAACAAGAACCTCATGAATTTCAGATTATTACTTCCTATTCAGCCTCCCCTGTTGGAAGGAGCACAAGCCGCCACTGGCTAGATGCTTCTGCCTCAGATTTTTTAGACACTCTATACAGGGTGTTAATCAATTGAGTGCTTTCGAATTGTGTCTCAATACATTGAAAAAAATAATTTTAATTTTCAGAAAAATCAGTGGCGTAATTTTTTTCTTTTCACCCCGTACAGACGTCAATGGCAAAAATTTTAAATAAATTTTCATGTTGAAAAATGCTCCTTCATGATGAGAAGGTGTGTATAAAATTTCATTAAAATATCTGAGAGTGATGGAAATGTCACTTTTTTCTCAAAACTTCAACTCCCTGTAGCTGAGAAACCAAGAGGATTAGGCCTGGGAAAATATATCGATATATCGATAACCATCGATAAACTTCGAAAACTATTGATATATCGATCAATATTGATATATCGATAACTATCGATATATTGAACAATGTCGATAGTTATCAATAGGCCTGTTCGTTTGTATTGCTAAACTTGCTAAAGCTGATTATTTTGTATAACACAGATATTCATGAATTGATTGAAACCTTGAACGATATCAGAAATAAAAAGGCCGCTAGGTATGATGAGATTTCGGTCAAAATACTTTACACCGGTATGGCTGCAGAGGGGTGACGTACAATTGGTTTGAATCGTACCTCTCAGGGCGAAGTCAAATGGTAAGAACTTCGGAACTCTCAGAAAGCAGGGCAATCACATCTGGTGTGCCACAGAGTTCTGTGTTAGGCCCAATTCTGTTTTTGTTATATATTAATGACTTGACTACGATAGATATATCTGGCAGCTTTACTCTCTTTGCGGATGATACAACAATATTGTGGAAGGAAAAGAACTCGGCAGAGCTACATAAAAAGATATCATCAGATATAGAAAAGGTAAAAAATTGGTGTGATGCTAATTTGTTATCCTTGAATATCTCCAAAACAAATATAATAACATTTAAATGTCTGCTAAATGAACTCTCAATAGGCAATGATATCTTGGAAAATAGACTAAACACAAAATTTCTTGGTGTATTCATTGATAGTAAGCTTAAATTTGATGAACATGTTAGACAACTCAAGAGTAAAATCTCATCCGGATGATATGCAGTGAGAATGGTTTCTAATGAGTTGGGTTTTCACACAGCAATAACGGCTTACTATGCTTTAATTTACTCCCAAATAAGATATGGAATACCTTTTTGGGGAACATGCAGTGCAACCCTTCTCTCTTCTGTGTTGATATTACAGAAAAGGGCTGTAAGGTGTCTCTGTAAGGTCAAACCTAGGGATTCATGCAGGAATTATTTTGCTGCCAATAAGATTTTAACTGTCGTTGCACTGTTTATTCTTGAAACTGTATGCCTGGTATACAAACACAAAACGGAGTTTGACTTTGTTTCTTCTCCGTATGCTACTCGTAATAGCATATTTAATATCAGACTTCCCATACCCAACTCAACATTAATCAAGGATTCCATTTTTTATAATATATAACCCTTTTATAGCCTACAAGAGTATTTTAATGAATCATTTTGAAAATATGTGTAATCTATTTACTTTTATTGTATTTGTACTTGCTTTATTTTAAAATTTTTTGTTACTTATCTGTTCATATCTATACACTATTAGTTATGTTTATATTTATATGTACTCACAAACCTTTGTCAATGGGATGCAAAATCTTCTGACAATAAAGAATATTTGGATTTGATTATTTTCCCACAGTTGTTTCTGTTCATGGAATGATGTAAACAGAGATAGTCATAGAAAAAAATCAAGTTCGGCAGGTAGAGCAAGCACAAACGAACAGGCCTAATATATTGATATATATCGATAACTATCAATACATCGATAAATATCAATGTTTTTACTTATCGATAATCGATATTTGAAATCCAATATCGCGCAGCCCCAATCAGGATATATGTTGATGAGAACTTTTCTTCGTAAAATCACCCGAGGATTCACACCTTGTATTATCGGCACTCAATCAATCACCATTCTGTAGATGACAAGCCATTACCTGACAAATGTCCGCGTTGAAACACGAAAAGATGATCCTCCTCTCGCCGCCGTACCGCAGGACCACGTCCAAGATGACGTCCAGGTAGAGGTTGAGATCAGTAGGATGGTACAGCTCGTAGGTGTCGTCTTGCAGTTGCATGGTCCACTTGATTTCGATGTTGAAGCCGGTGTGGGGGTCGAGCTGCTCCAGGCATTGCTGCAGAGTGGGGAAGGGCTGGTGGTCGTCCAGTTCCTCATCGAAGAACCTCTGGTTCTTGGATTTGCCCTCGCTCAAATGGTACACCTGGAATTTTACGCTGATCTCTACATTTTTATAGCTGTATTTTGTAAGTAGGTATACAGTCCTTGTATCTTTGGTCTAATGTTATGTTTGAAATTCAAGTGCCACTTTGTGGAATGTGGAGATGAAAAAATATATCTCGCTTATTTGACAAGGTAATCAAATAGTTATTTTTGTAACTAGAGCGCGAAATGCTACGTTGGTGATGGAGATCTGATTTTTTAACGAGACGTAGCCGAGTTAAAAAAAATAGTCGAGATGACCAAAGTATTTCGCGCTCGAGTTGCAAAAAACATTTTTTCTACAAACGTCAAAAAATATAGTCCTAAAGTAAAAATATGCTCAGCTTGATATAAAAAATAGTGTTGAACTGGATTAAAAGGCATCCCCATATCCTCCCTAGGTACGCACGATGTTCCACGAACACATTAATAGGAATTTCCTTTCGTGCGCTCCAAGAGATAAAACAAAGTTATTGTTGAACATTCAGAAATAAGTGATTTCGTGGATGTTTGCTCCATTGAGGACCATAAAGTTGAAATATAAATATCCCATATATTTTACATAACAATGCGCGAAGTAGGTACTACGCGCACTCTTTCACTTCGCGCATTGTTTTGTGCAAGGTATTATGGTAACGTAGGAAACTGAAAAGTGTCACTTCGCAATTTGTTATCAATGCGCGAACCTTGTCATTTTTTGACGTTTGTAGAAAAAAATAATAAAATTGCTTATTTGACACTTTTTTTCAGTTACGTTACCATGATACCTTGCACAAAACAATGCGCACAGTAAAATAGTGCGCGAAGTACCTACTTCGCGCATTGTTATGTAAAATATATGAGATATTTATATTCCAACTCTATGGTCCTCAATCGAGCAAACATCCACGAAATCATTTATTTCGGAATGTTCAACAATGACTTTGTTTTATCTCTTGGAGCGCACGAAAGGAAATTCCTATTATGTTCGTGGAACATCGTGCGTACCTAGGGAGGATAGGTGGAGGCCTTTTAAGCCAGTTGAATCAAGCTGAGCATATTTTTACTTTAGAACTATATATTTTGACTTTCGTAGAAAAAAATTTGTTTGCAACTCGAGCGCGAAATACTTTGGTCATCTCAACTGTTTTTTTAACTCGGTTACGCCTCGTTCAAAAGGTCAGATCTCGATCACCAAAGCATCATTTCGCGCTCTAGATACAAAAATAACTATTAAATGGCATTCAAGTACCTTCCTATGACTAACTGACACTTTTCATTTCAAAATGGCACCCCATGTATATTGTCATTGAAAGATGAAACTTAATAACAACAAAAACATTAACATTTTGTGATTTTTTTACGTTACTAGAATGAAATTTTTTCTCCATTATGGCAAACTTTGAAAGGCGATACAATAAATGCATTCAATTAAATGGATATTTAAACTACGCAACACTAATTTTGTCCCTGTTGAAATATGAATATCTTTTTTCTGCTTAGAACAATTTCAATTCGGATTACACTGTTTGCTAGGCCAGTCTTCCAGCTATTATTCAGTAATTCTTTAAAACATGAGGTTCTTCATATAAAATCGCTACAGGGTGTCACCTGAAACTGTGAAAAATTTCGGAATTGTCAAAAGGATCCCAAATGAACAAAAACTTTTTTCAACTTCGACAGCAGAGGCATGCAGATGATCTCATTACCTAGGGACATTTTTCAAATTGTCTTCTTATCTCTTTTATTTACAGAGTGATCTCAAAATATTAACTTTCTGGTTTTGCAGTCATAACTTTTTTCTTGTCAACCCGTTTTTAAAATCTCATGAGGTGCTTCCATTAAAAGTGAGACACACTGTATAATGTTCATCTTGAGTCAATTCTGATCTTCATATCTCTTTATCTGAAGTTTAAGCTTCAAAATGAGCCTAAGATTTCAAAAATCGGTTGACGATGAAAAAAGTCCCAAGATAATGAGATCATCTACATGCCCCTACAGTCAAAGTAGAAAAAAAAAAGTTTTTCTTCATTAAAATACTTTTGAAATTTCCGAAATTTTGCATATTCAGGTAACACCCTGTAGCGATTTTATGTGAAGAACCTCATGTTTTAGAGAATTACGAGATTATAGCTGAAGGACTGGGCTAGATAACAGTGTGATCCGAATTCAAATCGTTCAAAGAAGAAAAAAGTTATTCTTATTTCAACAGAGGCGAAATTTTGGGGTGCGTCGAAATTAGTGTTGCGTAGTTTAGTTGAAAAATCCAGAATTTTAGTTCAATTCATGTGTTGATTTACTATTATTTTAGAAGTATGTCTTTATCAGAATGTCTATCGAATGTTGTTAAATATATAATATACATAATATACAAAATTGATCCATGAATAAAAAATATATGAGGTTGGCCCGCTGTCAAATGGGCGTCTCTGTATAAATACGGTATTTTTGTTTACAATTCCTATTTTGCATACCTCAATTAAGTTAGATATTGTTTGCAACATCTTAGTTGCCATATACTTTCAATCGCTTTCAATGTTTATTTAACAAAACTGTCATTGGAAGTAAGATTTCTGTATTTGAAAAGTACATAAAGCTTCTCAATATGCATTCAGAGATCTTATTTTCATTATCAACCACTTTCAGTAGGTACATACTTCAGCAGTTTTATTTTTGTGAATATAAAACTTTATTTTGATTCAACGTGAATGTATGTATACATAATAAATATATCTCTTACGTTTTTGTCCTCGTATTTATCCGATAGGATATGTTTGTCACGAATTTATCTAAAATAATAATTTGATTCATTCAGCATTCAGATAATAATTGTCATTGTTGATGTATTACTGTATGAATACATCAACATAATGAATAAAATAAAACAAACAAAATCATCAGAAGAAATGCGTCATAAAGTCGATAAAATATAGGCACATCATCTTTGAACCAGACTGTTCTGGATATCCGTAGCAATACCACTTTGGCAACACAATTTCGTGAATAATAAAGCGAATATTCCGAACATCATGATATTATTATTAGTGTTGACAATATGGTCACATCTTAGACAATTCAGGGATCTTCGGGAAGCTAGTGGTCCAATGCTTTTATTGCTGGGGAAATTACTTCATCGGCGAAAATCAATTGGCCTTTCACCTTGTGGTAGTCCCTGTGCAAGACGTCGTATTGACTATTGTGCGAACTATTGTGTTATCGAGAAAGACACAATCCTGCCTTATTCCACTGTGAAATGCTGATAGATGCAGATAAATTGTCCTCTCCGGTCAATGTTAACAAAGGCGATTAGCCTGAGTGATCTAAGGGCTCGTCTAAGGGTCACAGGATAAATTAATACGTTCGGTACTGCTTTACCAGAATGGGGGAGACCACTGATTTTTTAAAATGACATTATCGTGAACTCTATACTGAAAAACTACCAGCGAATTGATTTTGAATTTTGTCATCCATGCTAAGACGATGAAAATAATAAATTAGAATATGTACATTTCAAAACACATAATTCCTGCGCTATTTGAAATTTTGTCAATTCATTGGTGTGACTGGTGCGACGTCTTATTCCCAACACGCCTATTGTCCTTGAACTGACCAATCACACTGCAACACTGCAGAATGACGAGGTAGATAGCTACAGTTCGGGACTAATACGTCACGACTCCACCATCATATTTGGCTGTTTGAAATATCGAATGAAATATGCTGATTTCAAAACGATATAGATTCGATTCCCTTCAACTTTAACTCATAATATTGATTATACATCAAACGTAAATCATGATTCGTCGATTGAAAGAGGTTTGCACGGATTTCTTCGCTCAGTGGTCTTCCCCATTGAAAATACGATTGAAACACGAGTTGACAACGATTAACCTAGAATAGTATACTTACCAAGTGTGAATTTTCATCATACAGGCGTTTTTGAGAAACAAATTGAAATGATGATTTTCCCTGTATTTGACATCCATCAATGTATGTCGGTTTTATTTTGACTCACACTATACATATTTATATTCTAGAAGTTTGCTTCGGCGAAATATACAGTTATAGGATGTACTTATATCCGCGCTTTCATCTAGTAGGGTAATAACTGTAGTGTTAATTTTGATAGAGGAAACAGGGATATTCCATATTGGCATAATGTCCCTCCAGATGCCCTCATTACTGAATCAAGCACTTCCGGGCTTTCCTACTAAAAATGTTGTGGAGATGACTTCGTATGTATTTGTTCTCGAATATACCTTGCTTAATTTTATTTTTATTTTACTTTTAGGGAAAATCCAATTTGATATTTTTTTATACACCATGTCGCATTGTCCCGAGCATTGACCCGAGTATTGACGGCTACTGACGGTACACATTTTTTTCTGAATCATTACTGAAATGCTTTTGACGCTATGATTTTCTTATCGTTTTCTTATCTGCAAATTGATTTCAAAATATCATGTTTTGTCTGGAAGTAGACGAGCACAATTATTGCTGAGAAAATTATGATATCAACTCGGGTCTCATTAAAATAAAATGCCATATGGATATGGTATGGGTATGGATACACGCATTCAGCCCCGAGTTCAGCCCGTCTGATTGTCTATGATTGTTTGAATGAAAATCTCGATGAAATGGAATATTGGACAATGTCCAAAGAACTAAATGCTATTTGGCGATTTTGCAACACAGTTGGCATGAGTAAGATTATTAGGAACCAACGTTATATAAGAGCATGATGCATGATTGATGCTTGGCCCTATTCAACAGTTTTGGACTCGGTTTTGAACAGTCCATCAACATATATAATATGCATCACATTAGGGTGGATGGAAACATTTAATACCAGAATAGTCGTCTATTTTGAACTCCTGTCACTTCCCTTTTTTTCTACAACTAGCTAATGCACCACTAGCTCCAGAACCTACAATTCCTCACTCCTTGTCGAGAGGTATATAAAACTGACACAGTCGTTTTGGCACAATCAAAATCATCTGGTATATAATAACTATCAATTAACTATTTTTAAACACAAATCCGAATTTTTTAACTCATGAGGTTGGCGAAAACATGGTGGTTGGCCAGCTTAACCTCAAGCTAGCACAACCGTTTCACAATTTTCCACCCAAATAAGTTATCTCGTAAGTTATGGACATGGTTTGCTAAATTTTTCAACTTTTCAATAACTTTCCAACGGTGTATGGATAATTTGAATTTAAACAAATTCGAATATTTTTGAAAGGGACAGATATGCATTCAATAGGTACCTAAAATACATGTAAATTTTTTCATGTAATCATCAATCATATTCTTTTTTTTTTTTCTTTTGAATATTCTCCATCACAAGTATACTATTTTTGAAAAATATATCATCTGAATCCACATTATTTCAATTTCAACTGATTGTGCTGAAGTTATTAAATATTAGATTCACGAGAATAATAATAATTTGCACCACTTCTGTGCCATATATTCGATATTTTGCCTGAATCAGTATTGAAACTTAGAGGAAACAATGAGATGAGACTTAGATGGTTTGACACTCGGTTTGACAGGTTTATCAATGTGTGATTAGATCACAAAACTCTTAATGATCTTTATAGGTATCTCACATAGATCAAAGACATACTTCAAATACAAATCGAGTTGTACCTACCTCTAATAGTACTGAAAGTCACCTCAATGTGCTTTTTTTTATTCTGAACATATTCTGGATAAATACAGTTTTCTACGATTTTATAATGTTTGAAAAACCAACTGAAAATGAGAAAATATGAATCAAAAATGTCGCTAAATCACGAAAAAAAAGTCGCTAAATTCACAAAAATTTCGCCTGCAACAGGCTTATTGCTCGCTTCGCTCGCTATAGCGACATCTAGCGATTTTTTTCCTAACTCTTGTGACATTTTATGTTCGGCAGCTGGCAATTGTGGATAACTTCACAGTAATATGCCCTTTCTTTTGTAGGAGAAGTGTAGCACATTCGTACACTTCCTGTAATTGCGTCTGGGGAGTCTGAGCGTTACTAATGGAATAGTGGTGGGGACTTCGCGTAATCCCGTGTCAATGATATCAATGTTGCCGGATTGTGCTTATTTTCTTCAACTTGAGGAAGGAAGTAAGAACTTAAATGTTCTTGAATCGATAGGATAACTCAAAAAGAAGAGAATAGCATTTTCATGAATTCACATGGAAATGAAAAGAAACTATTCTTTAAAAAGAAACCTCTACTCTAGAAAATAATGTTGTCCAAACTTTTTCTCAACAGTAAATGCCTCCACATTATTTTCTTCAGGTAGGGAGGAAAATATCCCTCCTACATAAGAAATGACACTACTTTTTTTAAACCATCTAACATTACTTGGTCTACATGAACCTTCTTCCTAAAAAGACAATACTTTTTTTAGGGAGGAAGAAAAATATCCCTCCTGCATAAATAAGGACACTACTTTTTTCAAACTATCTAACCTTAATCGGCCTAAATGAACCTTCTTCCTAAAAATTATATTTTTCGGAAAATCACTTGAGGAAACAGAATTTAAAAAAAGACCGTCGCACTTATTGAACCTGGGTCACCGACGTCAGAATCAAACGCACAGTCAACTATGCCACTAGTCGTATAGTAATTGTGGTAGTATGAAAAAAGAATCTAGTAGCTGTACCCGCACTTACTGTGCTGATTATATTTGTTACCTCCTGGCAGTCCTGTCTCTATAGGCGCTAGTATTGGAACGAAAAAACGATAACTAGCAACGCTGCACTCCCCCCACCATTCTTAAATTTATGGCAAGTATACTCCCCAGACCCTACTTCTTTTCAATAGTGCATTTCAATTTTCTCACCAGTGTATTTTATCTCCACCTGGGTCTTGGGCAGGTGTGAATGACACTCAAATGAATGAAGAATGAATAAAATCTCCATAAATGACTGGAAATACATCTGTGATTATTTTTATAATGGATATACCTACACCTGACCTATACTGGGAAATCAGTTACATTGCACATTGCACTTTTCCTCTTCAATTCAATGATCTTCCTTCCTTGGAAGGGAAAAAACCTTATTGTCTCATCCAACTCTGCTGTCACCATTGAGGTCACCATGGTAGGGTGCCAAACAAATGATTGTAGGAACTATATGCATATGCCCAAGTATTCAGTGAAAATCAATGATCATAGCAATCTACAAAAATGAAGTTTCCAGGGTAATATACCATGTTGAAAATATCGTTTGTCATTTTTGGGGTTTTATTTGTAATTGCAATGTGAAAAAGACAAATCTTGAAATAATGTATACTCTCCAGGATGTAGTATTACCATATAGAAAAACAAATAGTTTTTGATAATCAGTCTACTGGTTTTATAATGAGAATTAATTTTCTCTTGAAATGAAATATATTATAATAATATAGGTATGTAAGTGATAAGAAAAAGATCATATGAGAAAAACAAAAAAATAGGAATATAATGACATTAATTAGGTACTCACTTTCAAAAGTCTCAGCTGATCTAATGTTAGTTCTTTCAGAGGTATTTCCAGCATATCATTATCAACCAACTCCTTCTTCTTTTTCATGGAAATGCAGACATGAAAATCATGGTAAATAATAGGCAATAGATCTTTGCTCAGCTGGACATCAAACTCAACAAAATCAGCTCCATGCTCTATGGCATTCCTCAAACTGGCAATAGTGTTTTCTCGAACCTCAGCACAATTCTGTACTTTGTTTTTGAAACTAGACCCTGACCCTCTATGACCAACATCCAAACCTGAACGGGTCTTATTCCAGTGTCTTATATAGGAAACACTCATATCACATTTGAAATTAGGCATAGGACCTATCATGAGATAATCAATTTTAATCTGACCTAATGGTCTATGTTTTGTACTAGTTACAGGCAAAACAACATTGCCTTCAGAGGACTGAAGAACTGTAGGTAACAAATAACTGAAGCCAGCATGGTAAGGGGGCTCACCATCACCACACCTGGAGCTGTAAACATAGAGATCTATCAGGAATGCTATGTTAGTAGGAAATAAAACAGTAGACTGGAATATCAGAACATCATCTATGTGCAGCTCATGCCCAAATTGGTTTTGAGCTTTGAAAGTCGGATCTTCAGCATGTAAACTTGCTACTTCTGTGAAAGCATGTTTACATCCCTCTACAGAGTCCTGAGTATCTGCACTTAATGATTCTTCTAAAGCTTCTGACAAGGATTTTGGAACATTTGAACCATGACGTGTTAGATTTACTGGTGTTACTTTGATATTTATGAGTCTGTTTTGATACTGTGGTCTGAATAATACTAATGGGTTATTGCAAAGTTTTAGTTGGATGATAGTCTCTTTATTCAACCAACCCCTATCTATGTGTTCTTGGTTATTGTAGTTCCCATACTCATGAGGTTCATCATTGATTGTAGGAGTTTTATCAGAACAAGAATCAATTACTCTAGGTGTTATGTTTGTTTCCCAACTACGTACAATAACTTGAATGCCAGATTCAATGATAATGCAGACACAGTATCTGAAGTGAATCTTTTTTTTCTCTGGTATTTCAATTACTCCAGACCATACCATTCCATCATCTTCTCTCTCTAGGGGTATGCATCTTTCAGGCTGCCAGGATCCTAGCTCTGGCAAATCTCCAATAATGCATACTTTCTCTTCATTTTGCAAGTCAGGTAAGCGAACTCTAAATAGCCAACTTTTTGGGGTATACTGAACTGAATGAACTGATGTAGAAGAATTTGTTCCTTCACCTTTTCCCATGCGAATGCTAGCATTACAGGGGTCTTCCAAAAAAAACCAACGCTGCATATTTAGTATGTACTGAATATTCTTCAAATACTATTACACAAAGTAATTCCAGAAAATTCAAATTATTGCTGGACTAGACACTTGAAGGTTGGATAATGAAAGATGGCTTAACCAATGCTGTCACCTCACAATAATAATAATTCCAAACTGGCAGAAAAACGGCTTCATCATGTTCAGTGTTCAAATGGACTATGCAAATTTCAAAATTTTCAACATCTCAATCAGTACTTATGAACTTCCAAATACTCTTCAATTCAGAGTCCTTCTTGAGATTTGGTCAGATGAACTATTGATGAATAAAAAGAACTCCTCAATTCTTATGAATGACCACCAAACCACCGTACAACGTACCCTCAATCCTCATTAACCATGTACCACCCCTTTATAACACCAGAACACCACCTCATGCACCACCTCTAAACACAAACCACTCCACTTTGATCACACAATCACAATAAAGTTGAATTGAAACAACACTGAGATACAACTGACTAGCTGATATGCTGATAAGGATTACAAATTACAAGGAAATGACGAGTGAGTTCACAATTTGAAAATTGAAAATAATAATAGTGATCAGATGACAGACGAGACCTTGACGACACGACCCAAGGATTATTTAATAATCCTTGGACACGACCAGCTGACAGCGGAAGACACCAATCCATTTTGCCCCACTTTCACTTTTGCCAACCCATTTCGGCAAAGGCGGTAAATTCAAATCACTGATATTTTCACAGCATAGTAAAAAATAGCCAATACCCTCAATTGGCGCGGAATCAAGTCTACTAAAAATTTACTAAAAAAGAAACTTCATCGAAATAGCGAATCACTATCGGCCTCAAGAGAAAAATATCCCTTCTGCATAAGAAAAGAAACTACTTTTTTTCAAACCTTCTAACCTTATTACATGACCTCAATGAACCTTCTTCCTAAAAAGTATATTTTTCGGAAAATCATTTGAGGATAAAAGTATGAAGAAAGAATGTGTCTTTATCGTGTATGATTAATTGATCATCATACAGGTAGTGGAAAATCTGAATCTGAATCGAGCAAACCCAATCATGATTCTGCGTATATTCCTTTTCAAGAATGAAATCCACACATCAAGTCTCTAGCAATGAACTCGTCTCTAGTCGACAGTGTCGACACAACATCAACACGCAGGCGCTTGATTGGACCATTGTCGATCTAAATGAAAACCTAGTATAGGCGACCTAGTGCGAGGAGGTATTAATAAGCTCCTGCCTACTAACTACCTAACTAGGTTGTCATCTAGAACGACAATGATTGGACTGATGGTATATACACAGTGTATATATTGTGATGTATATATAGTAATAGTAATCGCCTATTTATGTTTGATGGGCACGCAATAATGAAACTCAATCATAACGTGGGCACGGGCAAAACCAGGGCCAACTCTCAACTAGAGCACAGTAGAGAAGCTCTCTCTACTGTGCCTAGAGTAGGCCCTGGCAAAACGGATTCGTAATGTTGTAAGCCGTCGTGGTGGCACTGCTGGCCGTGCAAGATGGTCGTTAGGACCGTTAGGGCACCGTATAGATATTCTGAATTAAATTTTTGTCTGACCATTCGTCAGGAGTCAGTGAGTCTGAGTCGGCACCCATCGTCGCCATCAGGTGTCTTAAACCAGAAGTGATTTTTCAAAAATGTCGCTAAATGACGAGAAAACATCGCGATAGGCTCGTGAAAATCTCGCTGCAGCAAACGTTTTGCTTGCTTTGCTCGCTATATAGCGACTTTTCTTGTGATTTTTGCGGAATATTGAAGGCATCAGCAGTTACTGAATAATAGCAACTTTTGTAGATGGATCAACTTCAGGACAGTTTTCATTGTTCCAGCAATGACCACAGCTGTGCCCACAGCACGTCCACAGGATGGTTATATAGATTCCTCGCTCATAATTCACATTCCTTCTCATTATAGTGAAAGCACGTAAAAGAATTATTTCAGATGAGCTGATTGATTATACATCGAATTCAAATTGAAATGTACGAAATCGAGTCCAATTTTCAAAATCGGAAAGACACAACTGAAAGTGTTGAAGGTCAGCAATCTCTATTTCACAACTTGAATTTGTTGAATCGTTTACTACTTATTTTGAATTGTTAAAAAAAGGTAAGTTGTTCGATGGGCCCATATCATGCTGTCTGTTCCGCGCTGGCTCTGCAGCGTCCCTGAATTGAATAATGAATATGGCTAGCGTCTATATAGCATGTCTATAGTATATTGGGAGTTGGCGTCGGTGAGATAAAAATTCATTATGTACCTAACATGATGGTTAATCTGAATTTTTTAGCAAGTCTACAGACCTAACTAGCTGAAAAAGAACAACAGTGAACGCCTCCAGAGTATCTCGGCATCTCCTCTTTCAATTATTAAATGAAAAAAAATGACAGTAGGATTCGAACTAGGCCCCTTGAATCTCAGTTGTATCAGACCGGTACCGATATTCTATAGAAAATATGTAATTGAGCCTTAATTGGTGGTTTCATCCATATCCCTAAACGTTTATCTAAATTTAGGCGAAACAACTTTCGGTTCATCCGGAAACTACACCATGATTTTCAATATTCTTCAAATTTTTATTATTGTAGTTTTTTTGAGATTCTCGAGTTTTTTTTTTTCTAGTACCCATCATGGTAGGAATAGAAAACTGTACTTGGTTGCTCATGAATGATATAACCTATTAGCTCTCAAGGTTTTAAGAGGGAACAAAATGATATTACTGTTGAAGATATATTTATTTGAAATTATATATCTACATAACCATAATTACTCTGGAAAAGTTGTACAAAAACGTAATCTTTATCGACATATATTACATATTTACATTTTATGAAAACATATCAGGTAGGTACCTACCTACCTTTCTTATATTAGCTGCAAAATAATCTGCTTGCAAATTATAGTGAAAAAATGATCGTTCGTTAATTATATATAGACCTAACACTGTATTCATTGATATCACAGTAAATAGATTCAATCGCGGATTTATCTCTTCATCCTAATCAATCCATAAAATTTGTACTCTCATGCATGCGTTATTCAAGTGCTCCACACTCAAATAGTCCATCGAATCCTAAAGAAAATATCACAAGTTTTTGCACAATTCTAGAACAAATTGTGAGACAATGTCATTCAAAACCGCTTCACGGGTGCACAAACGGGCAATTATCTCCATTCCTACAGTAACCGTGATTCTGGATATTTTTGCAAAGCCTACCACCCCTGTGACCCCCGCCGCCTCGCCTCCAATTGTTGCCAGATCCGCTCATTCGTACCCAATTACCACTATTATTACCATCCCTGCCATGCCGAAAACCACCCCCACCCCTATTATGTCGGTGGTTATTGAAATTGTTCGGAGGGAACATGTTATTCATGTTATTCATGTTATTCATATTATTCATATTCATGTTCATATTATTTGGTACAGTGTTAGGGAACATTGGATATTCTGGAACAGGCGCGAAATTATCAGGCATTGGGCCTGCTGGGAACATATTCGGATTCATCTGATGGTTCATCATCATCTCATTTGGAGGACCCATAGCAGCCATATTTGGAGGAATCATATTTCCGTTAGGCATCATATTCGGATTGACAAAGTTGTTGGGAACTGTTGGGGCCATTGGACCTACCGGTCCAGGAAAACGGGGTGGCATCCCTTGGAAGCCTGGAGGCGGCAGGTTGTTGAAAGGGGCGTTGAATGGCCCTTGGACATTCGGGAATACCGTTGGAATTTGAGGTTCGGGCATAGGCTGCTGGCCTTTGGATTCAGGCCAAGGCGTTAACCTCAGATCAATCTCTTGACTTTCTGGGTCTTCGAGAGGAATCACTACTGGGTCACTCATTTGATGGTTTTCCGGGATAGGTTCCTCGGCGCTGTCAGGGATTCGTCTCTTGTCGAAGTACAAAGCTTGAAGAACGCTCTTTTCGCGAGCAAACTGAATGTCCTTCTCCAAACTTTTATGACCTGGTGCAGCTAGAGGATCCTCCTGTTCTATCAGGAACGGTATCCGCCACATGGCCTGTGGTTCCATTAGGTCATCTCCACCTACTTTACGAGAGTGTTCTAGTGCCTCTCTTTCACTGGAAATATCCATCTTAGCCATATCTCCGAATGTTTTCGTGACATTCACCCTTTCGGTTTCATCCAGTTCGAAGAAACGAACTTCTACCAGATCTTCTTCAGCTTTCCATGAAATCGATCTTTTCGGGCCTTTTTTCTTCGTGTACAACAGAACTCCCCTAAGACCCCCCTCTGTTCTCACTCTCTTAGGTTCAACGATTTCTTCTTCCTTGGTGGTATCAGTAGGAGTGGTCGAACGTGGGCTAGTAGATGTCGTTGCTTCTTCATTCTCCGCAGAAGTGGCATCTGGAACTACATCACTTTGTTCGGTACTGTTCTCCTTGTTTTCTTCATCTTTATTTTCAGCAGCAGTTTCTTCGGAAAGAGTATCCTGGTAGAAATTGATGGGCGCGATATTCTTCAGTCCCAGCGGTGAAGTGCTCACGGTTTGAGTTGGCGTTGTAGGGGTTTGCGGTTGTTCCGTTTTAGGCGAAGATGTAGGGGAAGCCGGGACGTCCTTGGTGACACTGAGCCTTCGTTTTCTTTTCTTAGGCTCTTTCTTTGTTGTAGCTGCGGTAAGGGCATCCATGAACAGATCGCTTTCCTGTAGAACTGCTGCTGAAACAAACGAAAAGAATTAGCACTCTCGTAGAAACATTGACACATTCGACATTATTTCATATTACATATCATTAGTCGCGAAGGAAATGGCATTGGTTTCAAAGTAGTTTCATTAACATATTACAGTAGACAGTTCCTGAAAAAAAAATCATTTCACACTAATCAGATTTTTTTCGCAGTGTTTAGACAATTCTATCACGAGTGCCTAGAAGAGTTTATGAACGAAAAAGGTTACGTCTCAATTTTTTAATACTTATTAAACCTCCAAAACATACATTAGTATACATTGATTTTCAAGTGACCTATTCAAGAGTCAAAATCGACAACAGAGCTCGTTCAACATTGAAATAACAATGGAAATTTTTATTCAGTTGGTTCCAAGACATCGCAGCCATGCTAAAGTGTTTAGTATACTCAATTGTCACATATAGGTTGTGAATGTCTATAATCCGAGCTATAATCAATCTACCATGTCATGTACACAAATAGTAGGTCCTAAATGGCGATTTAACTTCAAATTTCAATTAATTATTTGAAGAAATGTAGGAGAAAACTTGAAGAACACAAAAAAAATCTCTAACTTTGAAACCCTGTATATCGAAAACAACACCGCCCCAAGCGTATATGTTAACATAAGATTTTCATCTCAAGAAATGTGTGTTTCAAGCTGTTCAAATCCTGCTACAAAATACGGACATGAAATATAAAGTTTTAATACGATGAGTAAACTATTTTTGGCAGTAATCTTAAAACCCATATAGTTTTCGAAAAAACATAAGGAAGCAAAAAGTTTCTGAATTAATGAAGGGGCAATCTAAATTGATGTTTCATAGAAAACAAAGGCGGTACGCAAAAAGTTCGAGAGGGTTAACTCGGGTACGACCCTCAAAAGATGTATCTTCCTGTAGGTATTCAAGAACGCGCGATAGCTCCAAATATTGCGTTTCCAAAGTGTGGTAGGTGTACCAAATTTCAATTCATTATTTTGGAAATTGTAGGTTATTGGAAAAGCACAAAACTGCTACGAAAAACTGACTCTCCCTGTATATTATGTAAAATATTTCAGATGAAATGTATCTTACTTTCCTCTTATTCCACGTGAAATTTCGCGATGTGTTCATGTTCATTAACATACATTTTTATAAACCACTTAATATACTTAGATAATATAGACTACCTTTGGTTAATTAGACGGACACCCGTACCAAATGTTCATGTCTTCAGTCTTCATATTGTATAGGCAGTTTGTTAGAAATGGAAGAATTTTTTAAAAATTGATTATTCACAAAATTATCTCAAAAATGTCCGCCCGTAGGATAGTAGGTACTCGACTAAAGGCATCCGTAAATAATATCACACATTTCATTATTGAATTGCCTTCCAGTATTGGTTCAATAGATGAATAGGTTTTTAATTCAATTCAATTCGGGTTTGCCCCAGTGAAACAGACTTTCATGCAATGCATCCGATATATTTAAGAGTGATTGTGGGAAACGACATTACCATCAAAAAGTGTTTGTTGCGATCAATTATTTCTCAATATATTAAATTTATTTTAATGGATTGACAGAGCTTGTCGAAAACTGTCTTTCAAAAGTAATATTCGTGTGGTGAAAATGTGATTTATTAAAATTTTGTTCATGTCTAACAAACCCCAAAAGCCCTGTACAATATGGAGATTTGAAAATTCGTACAAGTATCTGAATCGATTGCACAATAATTAGTTTTTCCGATGATAAATGCCCAATTGTCATGAAACGCGAAAAAAGGTAGGGCAAATATTTCAAACCCAGGGAAAGCTCGACGTATACTATCGAATGGCACCAATAAAAAAATATTAGGATCAAAATAGAAAAAATTCCGTGCGGAGGGCACAGTCACGCGGAGTTCAATCATTCAAATTGTTTTAAAGTGGCGTAATTGTTTTTTTTTACGTTTTTTGTTCAATTTTCGGCATGGAATTTCTCTTTGATTAAAAGAATTAGAATCTGATATCATGGCAATATTCGTTAAGACTGTACCATATCGATATGAATAGTAATGTATTGGTCCGTGGATTTCCAAAAAATTTTTCGGCAAATACCGACACAAACCGTATTACGGTAATATAATTTTTTCTTACGGACAATATTCTTATGGAATGGAAAGAAATGAGATATTTTCAAATAGTCATAAATTAATCTTGATTTCAAGAGCCGATCATAAATGAGTCGTGAGATATCTAAATGAAAACCTAGAGGCGACCTAGTGCTGGGAGGTATAGCTCTCGCCTATACTAACTACCTAAATAGGTTTTTATCTAAAACGACAATGATAACTGAGAAATTAGAAGCTTGAGAAGCTCTATCTTCCGCCTCAAATCGGAAATTAAATCGAAAGTGGAATAAATCAACCTGTAAACAAAGGTTAAATGATGTATTTATCAATTTATATTGTATGGAATACTGATGAATTACTGGTATGGGACCCGAAATCAAATAGATTTTTTTTTAATGTTCTGGGGATATCCCGTAATGTCCAAAATCCAAATAAAATATAGTTGTTCGAGAAATATCCAGAATTGCTGATATTATTTCAGTTTCAAGTTTACCTAAGATAATTAAGTTTAACGGAGACCCGAAACCAATTATTCAATGGTTATTGTTCAGATGAAATTTCAACGTACATGTTGTCATAAGCATGTATAATTCAGAAAAAATGTTATACTTTTGAAAGGAAATGTATCCAACTTTTTTAATGCGAATGGAAAATGAAACATTTTCACAAAAATGGAAAGTCACTATAAACAGTATGAAATCACCTTCCGAACTTTCAATCCACCACTAATCATGATAATCGAGATTTCATTATATATCAACTTTTTGCATCGCCCTCGTAACAGAACATTTTCATGAAGTGTGCTATGGATGATTGAATGCGTTTGAAATTAAATATGTTTCAAGGGTTCTAACCAACATAAAAAATCCGATCAATTTATTGTTACCAACTTATACCTATTATACCGGGTGGAAAAGAAATCATAGGCCAGGGCGACATTCAGTTGTTAGACTTTTGGATCGAAGACGGGTGAGTCAATAGTGTGTTCTCCTTCGATATTGGCCAAACCGTCAGATTTATAGAAAAAAATTCAAATACAACAGTTATATAGGGTTTCTTGAGAACTATCACCTAAAATTATTCTTATATCTTTAGGGTGTTCGAATTCCAATAAGATATCGACTGATGATGTTTTTTAAATGAGACATCCTGTATATTATTGCATTTTCAGACTACTTCAGAACTGAAGAGCAGATTTCATCAATACATCACACTTGGGGTCTAGCGGGAATGATTATAGATATATAGGGTGTTGAAAATCGTCATTTTTAGATTGTTTTGTGTCGGTACTGTTGATTTTTTGTCAAAACGGTGCACATGTCTCTATTTTAACTTCTGATTTACTATCCACTGACAATTAATTGGGACAGATACATAGTGATCAGAATTCTTGAATCTTGAACCAGCCTGTATTTGTTCCAATATAATAAATCAAAAGTTAAGATTGGGACATGTAAGCCGTTGTGACCAATAATGAATAGTTTCGACACAAAAAATCCTAAAGTTGAAAAATCTCGATTTTAAACACCCTATATCGCTGTAATCATTCCTGCTAGACCCAAGTGTGATATATATTAAAGAAATCAGCTCTTCAGGGAGAACCTGAAAATGCAATAATATATAGGGTGTCTCATTCAAAAAACTGATCATCAGCCGATATCTTAGAATTCGAACACCCAGTAGATATGAAAATAATTTTAGGTGATAGTTCTCATGAAACCCCTATAACTGTGACACAGACTTATGGTATACCTCCTTTTCCTCCTTCAGTTTTCTAGCTATATTTCTAAAATTTGGAACATCGATACGCTCGCACTAGAGGGCACTTTCTCACATGGTAGACATTTTTTTCATCTTACGGTTTTACTGGAAATGACATCAGCTGTATTTTATTTCATAATCGGTTTGAGATTATTATAAAGAATTCAACAATACTAGGTTTGATTGGGTTATTTCAAACGATTACGGAGATATTCACGTTCGAAGTTTCCATACGTTCAATGGGTGACGGCGCTATATCAAAACTTCTTTCCCTGTCACACTCATTGAGCTTATGGAATTTTCGAACGAGAATATATTCGTAATCGTTTGAAATAACCCGACGAAACCTGGTATTGTTGAATTGCTTTAATAATCTCTAACCGATTAGAGAAATAAAATACAGGGTGCTCCATTTGAAAATCGAAAGTTGTGAAAATGTGAGAAAGTGCCCTCTAATGAGCATATTCGATGTTCCAGAATAGCTAGAATAACAAAGGAGTAAAGGGGGTATACCATGAGTCAGTGTCACCAAGTATGTCTGAGGGTTTGGCTAATATCTAAGCTAAAGAGGACATACTATTGACTCCATCCTATGTTCTTCAAAATTCACGTTTTCCATGAAAAAACATTTGAATACATCTAGGTTTTACCGGAAATAGACCTAGCTCGAGAATTTTGAATGGAATAAACCCTTTGTAGATATTTTTACGCCATTCGATAGAGGAAAAAATGTCTTTTTCCTAGATGTTTTTTCTATAATCAATATAGCGACACTGTGACCTAATGAAAAAGCAAAAAAACGAAGATTTTAGTTTCTTCATCTCTTGGAGCGCACGAAAGAAAATTCCTATATTGTTCGGAGAACATCGATGTTCTCCGTAAGTATGCACGATCGTGCGTTAGGGATGATACGAAGAGGAGGTGAGTTTTTTCAACTATTGGGTTATTAGTTCTTGGGATTACTTCCAATGGCATCAAAGAATTCCAAAGCTCTGCCGTTCTATAGACGAACGAGTTTTGATAAAGTATTGTTCGACATATTTCAAAGTTGACAACGAAAGGATGTGCTGAGGCCTGTCGAGTTCGATGGTATTGCTAATGATGGAATGAGAGCAGATATTCGAAGAAAAACTGTT